AATTACAATTAATCCATGAAACAACCATTTAAGAAAACTCCAATTCCCATTTATAGTTATAGATAGCACCAAGAAAATCCTAAACAAATACATGAAATTTGTTTAATCATGCTAATCTCAAAAAAAATCAACACACAAAAGATGTAAATAGAATACATGACAACAATATAAATTATATAATAGATTTCACACTAAAACCAAACATAAAAATAAAACTCTTTTTTAATTTTATCCTCAAGACCTATACATGCATCCAAAAATTGATATATTTCTAACAAAATTCTGATATCTAGAAAAGTATCTTAAATAATCGATTTAAAGTCAAATTTTACTAACTTAAAGTAATTCTTACTATTTAAATAGTCAATTTATGTTTACCTAAACCTAAATCCATGGTTAGAACTTATATTTGTCTATGAAAACCATAAAATCAAGTAGAAGAAAATAGCAGAAATTGAAGAAGAAATCCACTAGACAGTTTGTCCCACGTTGCAAATATACAAAAGTCTCCCCTCTCACTTGGATGAAGCTCAAAACAACGAAGAGAAATGGTTTTTTTTTTTTTTTTTCAAAATCTTCCAAAGGATGCTCATGGGTGCCCCTCAATACTTTCCTAAATCAAGACAACACATTTAGTTGACATGTTGCCACATGTTCGTAATCTTACCAAATAAGTTAGATATACCCCCAATATCTCATTTATCCACCTAAAGCCCTCATACTTAAAATCTAATCAATTTAGACACTAAGACTTTAAAATAAAAGATTTTAATTTATAATTTATTTACTCAAGTATATGGGGTGATACATTTGTTAGGTATATAATGATTAATAGCTCCTTGTATGTACGTCAAAATCATCTACTTGTAAAAATATTTTTGAGAAAAAGGAGGAAGCAACTCTAGTATACAAAGAAAAAGCTTTTCAATCCTAGCTAAGATTCTACACTATAAGGAAACATTTATTTCATCTACTTGCTTTATCACTATCTATGTAAATGAAATGGAAACATATTTTAGTCTCAATAAAATTGTGAATATGGATAATTTTGGAACAAATTTTAAAATATCTTCTAACATATGATGCAAGTTTGAACCAAACTTTATAAGATTGCTGAGTATTTTGTGATACTCTACTATGAAGAAATAGCACTTCCAACTTCTTTTCTTCAACCTTGGCAATTACACTTGGTTTATTAGTCTAAAGCACAGTAGATAAACACGAAATGGAGAATAGACCAAAAAATTGATTTCCAAATTATAGATTAGAAAATATTGTTCGATATCTTATCGTCTTA